CCCCATGTCAAAAATTGCATTCAAATGCCCCACCAATTTTTTTTGTTAAGGAAAAAATGCATGACAGGGAAGATTTGACTTATTTCCAGTTCAAATTCCCCACCTTGGGGGTACAAATGACAGTCAAACACTTGTGGGTTGCCCAGGGAGGGGGAAATGATGAAGCTTAAAATTGATCAACATATATAACCTGAAACAAATTAGCATCCCATCCAGATGAGTCACTTGTCTTGAGCACTAAGAATTTACCTTTTCCAATATTTGGCATGAAAAGATGCTGGGAAATTTGTCCATGGACATGAAATCTTCTGAGAAGTGCACAGTTTTCCAAGAAGATTAAAGCTCAAGAAAAAATGTACATTTCGAGCAACAGACAATGTCCAAAGACAAATAAACAAGCATATTTTTGTTACAAATAGTAGGCACAGCTTCAAGCTTACACTCAACCTTGATCCCAGGGCCTTTTCCCTTAGTTGGGGGTGGGTTAAACTAACGGAAAAGGCTCTGAGAACAAGGTTGAGCTTAAGCACTAATTAAAAAAATAACTGAGAGAATAAGAGCACCCTGAATGGTCAAAAACATATTGTTTATCACACCAGTAAACTCATAGAAAATTGACATTCATTTTTTAGGAGCATTATAGACTGCATTTTCTCCCAGTTTAACTGCATAATAACCCTCTTAAGATGTTGGTAGAACACTCAAAAAGTTTTTCTAATGCTTAAATATCGTGCCTGAAGCTGATTGTGTTATAATACAAAACAAAGGGTTGCCAATCTGGGAGAGATGAAGGAGGTGCTCATTAAGACAGAAAGATTCCACTGTACCTCTTCTTCTAAAATATTTCCTGTAATTCCATTGCAATTGACATACCTCATTTGGAAGAAAATTCACACTGTCCACCAAACATTCCATTTTACTACATGTCTCATCCCTATTAACAAGATTATTTGTGATATCATTACATCAGAAACACAACACAATGGGTCACAAAAACAAAAACATGGGGGAAAAAAAAACAATGGGCATGCAAATTTAAATTATCAAGGATCAGTGCCTATAGTTCTCTTTAACCCATGATGATGGTTTAACACGGACCACACAAAGGCATGTTACACAAGGAAGTTATTATTTTTATGGGGATGGGGAGGGGAATAGGAAAATACATGCCTCTTTAGCTCTTTAGCCCATCATTACATCTGGTGCTACATGTAGGTCCTCCTTAGTCCTAGGAAGTGCCAAGCATCATTTCAAAGCTCCAAGGCCAACTGTGTGCGATTTTCAGAAGAAATTATCCAGATGGAGCTCAAGTAGAACATTTTGGTGTACTGCATAGTTTCTTCTCTTTCATTGATAGAATTGGTCAATTTTTCCTACACTATACAGAGAAATGCACACACAAGTGTAGATACAGGGGCCTGTAGGTCAGCAAGAACCTCAAAGCCAGTTTATTGAAAAATTGCCATGATATGAAACCCACACCTACACACAGTATAATACTAAACACGACACCAGTAGAGACGAAAACTCCAAACCAATATCGTGGAAAAAAAACAGACAATCAAAGACTGCATGTGGCTTTTGGTATAACACAATTATTGTAGCACTGAAAAGAACTAGATATTTTATAACGACCCTTGAAGGTAATGTTGCAGAATATTAATATTTCACGTATGCATGCAAAACAGAAAACCTGACATCTCACATATTTATGAGTACCCTGTTCCACAAGAGGAAGATGATTTAAGAATACATTGTCTAATCAACATTTTACCAATAATTAGATGATAACAAATCATGCTATTTACAATGATAATAATGATAACAATTATAGTAATATCAATTTAGTGGGACTAGCTTGAAAGCCTTATCATTCCCCTATCCTCTGGGCTCCAACAATGATTACCTTCAGCGTGCTTCTTTTAAATTTGCCTGTTGACTGGATATAGAGGTAGTCTTTTCAAGTGGAACACTGCTTTACTAGGTCAAATAGAGAAAGTTTTCCTAAGGTTTTGACAGTACTTTACCAGTATGAGTTGTGCCTAGCAGAGAATCTACAACCTTTTGTAGCATATAAACTGACTCATGTTCACCTACTTAAATCAAAACTTACCGACAAAGACTTTGTAAACATGATTGGCAATAGAAATGTCCACACTTTGTCTGCACAGTGTCTTTCAGCAAAAACCCACAGGAGCTGCAAATGTACTTAGGAGGAATGGTACCCAGGTCTTCACTTGCCAACTGATACCCAGGCATATTCACCCAGGAATATTTATCAAAATTCCAGAGATACCCAGGACAGGAACACAGATCCCAGGAGCCGTGGAAAAATTCCCAGCTAGCTGTCCTAGTGATTTTTTTCAGCTACAAATAAAAGAAAGTAGGATCTTTTGAACTGCTAAAGTTTTCTCTTAAATGCTTTCAACGAAAGGTTATTTTTTTGGCCCTTTGTACTTCAAACAATATCTTAGCTGAAATGCAAGATTGTAAACAATCCATTTCTAAGAGTTTGACATGACAGATCATGTGTTTGCTAAAGACCCATCAGCAGTACCTTTACTAGGACTTAGTAAGTGTAGTTCAAACAACAAAATCCAATGAATGTATTCAACTGTGCTGGTAGAAAAGTGAAGGAAAGGTGATTCTTAAATATATACTTATAAAATATTTTTTAAATCAGTTCAGCAAGCTCTGGCGGAAAGAGAAACAACCCTGAAGAAAGCATGATTATTATGGAAACAATAGCGATATTACGTCTTTCAGATATGTACATCATTCATGCATTGTAAATGAACATTTGAAGTTGAAAGATCAAGACGAGACACAAATTTGTCACAATTCACTTTTTTTTTCAAACTACAATTTCTTTGAAAATGTGGCATAGAATATATTCCAGAGAGCTAACATGGTTTTTTATGCATTCTCTTGATTTAGCAAACATGTGTTAGATTTGAGGTGCCATGAAGTTCTGAAAACTGTGGGAGGCAGGATGCTCCAGGGGCACCTTTAAATGGGCCCTCTGCACAAAGTTCCCTCCTGTTGAGTGCAACAATTTAACTATATCCCTCGCTCCGATGAAGGGCTAACGCTTCAAATGTCAGCTTTTGTAATCGTTACAGTGGCCAATTTACCATTTCAACTTTGTTGATATATCCAAATTATAACTATATCCCTGCCAGATTGAAATTATCAGTAGATAAGTCTAAATAATTGCTTGGACTGCAAGTGAAGCAAGTATTACAACCCTTTCCACCACAATTAGAAGCTTTTATAATTAATCAAAACACCACATCAACCATTCCAAAATGCTTATAGTAGGCTAAACAATAATATAACTTGCAAATTACCAGCGATAAACAGATAAATGAACACAACAAGTACATTTTTATTAACCAGACATGCTAAAAGTACAGTGCAGAGGAAAGGTCTACTGCAGTCACTTTGTTTCATGGCTAGATTACTCCAAGTCATTTCTGTATGGAGCAAATTCACTTTTGTTTGGAGCAAAGAAACAAAGCCATTTAACAGTGGGTTTGAGCAAACTGACTAATGGGGCAATCTAACCATGGAGTGAAGTGACTAGATACCCTTTTCAGGCTGTTTCCTTCACGTTCATACTTGTTGATTGTACATACAGTATTGTGCAAAAGTAATGCAAACAAAATACGGCAAAATTTGTTTTTTGTTCTAGCGATACAAAAGTTCAGGTGAAAATTCAATCAAAAGTTCGACACCTTTTAAGCAACATTTCACTAGTCAGAACAAAGGACAATTTTCATTGAACTTTCCTCACAAAGCAAAAATGTGTCTTAAAGCATCCTTTCAAACAAAAGCATTCTAAATTTCACTCCAAACAGACCATAGACTTCCCTGAGTGATCTAGATTGTTTACCATTCATGTAATCCACATGAAATAGGTTCAAACATATTTCCAAACTCATCAGTCACTCAGACAAACTCTGAAAAAGACACTTCACATTTGAGACCAAACACAGAAGACAAAAGGATAAAACAAGCATCAAACATCACATCAGATTCAGGGCTCAATCTATTTATGATAATGAAAGTAAATCCTGACAAACTGCTGCAAACAATTTACACCAAGACCCACATATTTGGCTATAGTTATCTCCTGGACAAATTCAGATATTTTGTACATTATTAAACTTCAGTTCTCTGATGTTTATACACAAAAGAGAGAAGGACAAAACAAGCCTAGAACATCAAATCCGATTCAGACTTTCATCTCTTTATGACAACAAAAGAAAGTTGGAATTAACTGCCCCAAACATCTGAAGGCAATTTCACTAAGATATGTGTATTTGGTGGGGATAAATCCAAATGTTTGGAATAGTTTGCGAACTTAAACTTTAGTAATCAAATTTTTAACCAGACAGAGCAGATGATATGTCTAGAATGCATTGATTTGTTTTGCTACTGATTCATAAGGTCTTCCTGATCAAAATTCCTTGGTCTTGTCCCTCTAGCCAGTAGGATCTTGGATGACTCAGATAGTATTTTCAACCAGGAGTAGAGCTTTTTTAATTAAGTCAACTTAGCCCACATTTATTTACAGTTTGATATATTGATAGAACACTTTTCTACCTCCAGAGAGTATAATCACTCTACAGGAATACTTTCATACTCTATGATGTACTTCTTCTGGCCAGTAAGAATTTAGATGGCTCAGAAAAGAAAATTGACCAGTGAGACATTTATGCCCAAAGGCAACAGGACATATGCAACTAATATAGCGTATTTTACCTACTGAAAATTGACCAGTGAGACACTTGTGCCCAAAGGCAACAGGACATATGCAGCTAATATGGGGTAATTACCTACTGCAACATTCAACACTGGTCACCAAAGAGCAACAAATTATAGTTATGTGATTCAAAATACTAAAGGAAAGAAAATACAATTTTCATCAAAAATCAAGTCAACCCAAGCTTACATAAAGATAACCTGAATTAGTACTTCAAATAAAGTTAATCCTTGTTAATGATATTTTTAATCAAAAGCACACATCATTAAGATGACCCTAAGATATATGCCCATTCCTTTCGAAAAGATTTCACTTATGCTTAAGCAGAGTATTACATGTCAGATAATAGTATATCTGGGTGAAATGTTAAATCACCCATTTAGGGTAAAAATCATTTCAAAGACATTTGATTATTAATTTATTCTAATTTGGAACATTGTAAAAAAAAATCTCAAATATAAAAGAAAATACGACTCAACCTGGTTTAAGATGGTTTTGAACTAAAATTAATTTCAAAATACAACAAATCCAATCTTTCCTTGGTCCACTACTATTTACTAAGCCATCAAAGATGGGATGGTTCACAACTAATGAAATCACCATTCATGAGAAAAGAACAAGCCATTTCCCAGTTCACGTTCCAAGGAAAAAATTGGCCATTCACAAATTACAAAAATACCCTTTACCACCCTCAAACAAGACCACAATACATCAAAATATTCCTGTAGGGCAATTCCAATATAATGTAATAAGGCTAAAGTAGGATGTAGAAATGCATTTCATCGATAAACAATTGTGAACTTATTAAGCTAAGTTTGCATTACATACATCCTGTGCTTCATTGGTGTCTGAGATATATTAGATTCTCACAGCCAAAGAAACACAGTATTACAGAAATGAAAATACTCTTGTGATACCTGACAGCAATGAGCATAACTTTTATATTGTCAAATCTTTCGGTACAATTAAGCCAACTTGATTTCACACACGTTTCTCTCGCCTGTAGTATTTGCTAGGCCACCAAGGTCTTGCCTGAGGTACACAACAAAATAAATTTGATTTATAGGATCTTTTGATTCACGAGCACAATGCTCCAAGGTATTCTTGTGGCATTGCTATTAAAATTCTTGTTTACCTGAGCTATCTATAGGAAGCAAAAGTTCCAAATGTAAATCTTATGATCCAATATGCCATAACCATAACAACATTTCCTGAACAATGCCCTGAGTTACTCTCTTCACCTCCTTTATTGGTCTGGCAAATAACATCATACTTGTCTTGTTCACTAATTACACTTCACCGATATTGGAATATATTCCTCCACACTGGAATAGCTGACAGTTTCCAAAGAGTGCTCAACACGGTTATTGTTGTTTTGTTGAACGAAGAATCAAACCGTTTCGCGTGTGCGGCCAGGTTACTAAGCGAAATGACTTTCAGGCGACTTGACCGGTTACCGAGGTAAACATAGAATCAATTCATGAATAAACTTATTTGATTGCGGAGATAAATCTCCACGTTTTCCGAAGTAATATGGTATCGATAAACACGGTAACTTAAAATGTTCAACTACCGACAGTTCAACTGAAAAATTTACGACATGGTGTCTGTAATAAGCTAGATCGAGCGATAAACAAGGCTTAAGGATGTACGACGTGCCGAGCTAAGCCAAAAGGCGCACATTTATCCAAACAGTAAAACTTTAAATCTTTCGTCGCTCAAACACACCACGCCATTTTCCGGCCAGAGTTCGTGAGGTGAAACAGTGGTTTCACGGAAGTTAAATCTCATAAATCAGTAAAATGTACTTACATTACATGATTGGTTTTGTCTCTTTAGAAATTCCTCCACAATCAAGCTTCGTGGAAACCTGAAACGATCAGATAGGCACAAAGAAAGTACTGACAACACTGTCACAAAATCCAAAATGGCGAGTGCTTCACGTATCACTGACCAACCTTTACAAGGGAAATTCCCAATCCCATACTGCATGGGGGTGAAGATTGTAAAAGTCCCGGGCTTTTCAAGGACAGTCTACGCCGAATTTTCCATAGGCCGCATTCTACGGTGGCTCTACGGTGGCTCTCAAGGGCCATCCACCCACAAAAATGTTCATGACTTTATCGCGCGATAAGTTTTGCTAAGTCCATTTAAAAAATTTGCAATCAACATTATCGCGCGATAGAACAACTTATCGCGCGATAGAACAACTTATCGCGCGATAGAACTACTTATCGCGCGATAGAACAACTTATCGCGCGATAGAACAACTTATCGCACGACAGAACAACTTATCGCGTGATAGAACTTATCGCGCGATAGTACTACTTATCGCGCGA